CACCAATGCTCGTCATATAGGAACCGACTTCTACATCAAATGCATGTTCAAAATTTGGGAGAACTAGAATGCATGTGGAAGTTATCTTCTCCTTTTACATGGCAAAGCTTACCTCTATTGTATGCCAGTGCAACCCTTTTTTTTTTAGGCAATCTGGGGATGGGGGGTAGCGAGAGTGTTGAAATTATGTATTAAACACTGAACGAAAGTTACAACCTTGTGTGAAAGCTACATACGCCATGTAGGTTAGTAGGTGTTGGCCACTCCCAAATGTTCCAAACCTTCTCATCAACTTGGACACAACGACTACTTATGATGAAGCTAGTAAGCTACATAACAAAATATTGTTTGTGAGAAATATATCTTTCTTTAAATCTAAAGAGGGGGTGTTAGTTGACCAGTCCAAGATTCAGGCCATGGTGGACTGACCTCTTCCTAAGAACTTGAGGGAGTTGCGGGGATTCTTAGGGCTCACTAATTACAACCATAAGTTTGTGAAAGGATATGACACCATATCAAAACCTTTAACAGAGCAATTAAAGAAGGACAACTTTAAGTGGGGGAGGAAGCGACAAGAGCTTTTCAAGAGCTGAAGACAGCTATGAACAATGTACCAATACTGTCCATTTGTGGTGGAGATAGATGCATCATGTTATAAGTTAGGAGCAATACTCATGAAAAGTGAGAGACCTATGACATATTTCAGCCAAGTGCTCATAGCAAGGGCAAAAGCTCAAGTCAGTATGTGGATGCGAGTTGATGGCGATTGTCTTAGCAATTCAGAAGTGTTTCATAGTCAGGATAGACCAGAGGAGTCTAAAGTATTTAATGGAGCAGCAGATGGTCATGGAGAAGCACCATAGATGGTTATCCAAGTTGCTTAGATATGATTTTGAGATCCAGTACCGACCAGGCCTAGAAAATAAAAAGCAGATGCCTTGTCCAGGAGGGTCGAGGAGCCATAGTTGGCAGCCCTATCAGTGCCAATGATCTTAGACTTGGAAGCAATGAGGAGAGAGAGAGTAAGCAGGATAAAGGGTTGAGGAAGATCAAGGAAGAGTTGCTGAAGGACCCGAACAGTTACCCCAGTTATGCTCTAATGGGTAATAACTACTCTATAAGGGGAGGTTTGTACTCTCACAATCCTGAAGTTAGATTCCCAAGCTACTACAGGAATTTCATAGCAGTGTGATAGGGGGGCATTTAGGGGTACAAAAGAAATACAACCAACTATCTGCTGAGCTATATTGGGCGGGGATACACCAGATGTGGAAGATACTGCGGCAAGGTGTGATGTGTGCTAGAGGCATAAGTACTTGATTATGGCACCCGGGGGGTTACTGCAACCATTAGCTTTATCTAAATGGGTATGGGAGGAAGTAACCAATGATTTCAATGAAGGGTTGTCAAGCTCAAAGGGATATTCAGTGATACTAGTAGTAGTGGACTGTCTGATCAAATACACACACTTCATTCATCTGAAGCACCCTTATAACGCGGTCATTATGGTTACTATTTTCAAACAAGAAGTGGTGTGCTTATATGGCTTTCTAGAAGCCATTGTGTCAGACAAAGACAATTTGTTCCTTAGCGACTTTTGGAGGGAATTGTTTTGTTTAGAATGGACAATCCTAAAGAGAAGTACAACCTACCACTCCCAGACAGATGGTTAGACATAAGTGGTTAACAAAGGTGTAGAGACCTATTTGAGATGCTTTGTATCAGACATGTCAAAGAGTTGGACAAGGTGGATTGCTTGGGCCGAATATTAGCACAACACATCATACCATTCAACAGTACAGACCACGCCCTTCAAGATTCTCTATGGGAGAGATCCACCTCATTTGATTCACTATGGACAGAGCACAACACTTGTGTCCAATGTTGAGCAGTACTTGGAAGAGAGGGACATGATATTATCTGAGCTCAAAAGATATTTGTTGAGAGCCCAGCAGATCATGAAAAGGAAGGTTGATGAGTACATGAGAGAAGTAAATTTCGAGCCAAGAGACATGATTTACTCAAAATTGAGGCCCTACAGATAGAAGACACTAGCCAAGAGGAGGAATGGAAAATTGTTCCCATGATATGTTGGGCCTTATGAGGTCTTGGAATGCATTGGAGTAGTAGCCTATCGATTGAAGCTACGACCCTCATCATCTTTGCACTCACTCATTCATGTCTCACAACTAAGAAAGGCAACAAGAGAGCACACATCATCGTCACTACCCCCGACTTTGACAAATAATATAGAGGTCATTTTGGAACCCCTAGAAGTAACTGGTGTGCTCAAAGGAGAGATAGAGACACAGGAGGTGTAAATCAAATTGAAGGATCTGCCATAGCACGATGCCACATGGGACCCATACAAGACAATCAGGAGACAATTTCCATCCTTCTACCTTGAGGACAATGTGCATTTTGAGAAGGGAAGTATTGTTACGGCTATAGGCAAATGGGGGTTGGACCGACCGATCCAGCAGGCAAAGGAGATAGCGAAACCTAAACCAAATCCAGGCTATAGATTTTGGCTCCTCTTATGGGGCCAGCAATGAACTAATTCATCATGTTAGGAGAGTAATTAAGGAATGGATCAATTAAGAAAAGATTGAGAGAAATTAAGGGGAGGATCAATTAGGAAAAGATTTCCTAATTGAATTCAAATTGAAAAGGGAAATTAATAAGGAAAGAAAGTAATTTTGGGGGGAATTGGAGAGTTTATTTAAGAAGGGATCTAAGGTTTATGTTTCTTCATGCATGTTTGGAGTTTTGTTGTAGTTTTTGCTTGGGAGATTTCCTTGCGGCATTTAGGGTTTGTGAGAAAGCTAATCTACCTCTCAACTAGTAGATCATTTGTATCTTTTATTGTTGTTGAAGAGATAATAAAAAATCGGCTATTGACTATGTTCTAGCAATATTCTTCCTATCTATTTGCTGTTTTTACTTCCAAGATGCATAGATTCATTGTAACCCTTTCATCGTGGAGCTCAGGCATCCTCTAGAAAAATCCATCAAGCATCCCTATGAAACATTCGATATCCAGAGTTGACAACGTTGAGACCTCCTGCATTTGTTCGTTTGTGATCACACTCCCTGTTAGGACGATCAGATTTTTTCTGTACATCTATGAATATAGCACGTTGAGTCACCGCTCTAACATCATGATGGAAGCCTGAAGGGTGGCCTGCACATCAAGATCTGCATCTATGTCACAGCGACTATCTTCATCCAAGCCAGCAATTGCATTGATTCTCCAAGCTCTGGAACCAACTTGGTGTAGAAGATAATTAAGAAACCAGAGAAAACTCCAAGTGCCTTTACTTTAGTGAAAACAGAGGACGGAACAAAAGACCCGGCTATTATTGATGAGGACATCGACAGACGCTACCGACATGTTTATCGCCGGCGAAACCGTAGATCGACGGCCTCGATTCAGCGCCTCTACTTTTGATTATGATGTCATGATGTATTATTTAGTATTTTCAGTTTTTCCATTTGTACCCCTGTGGGGAGTTGCTTTGTTATTGTAGCCCATAGGGCAATTTCGTACTTTCTTTTTTTTTTATGAGTTGAGGCCTATATATAGTGGTCTCATGTGTTGTATGAGGTTAATGAATATTTTGAATGAAATTTAGTTTGTTATCTTTTCAACTTCTTCTTGTGGAGAGCTAGAGAGGAGAACGAGAACCCAAGGTGAGGGCGAAAAGCAATACCCGCCAGTGACGTGGTCTACCTCCACCATCCCGATCCCCTTCCTCTTCCCAACCCGCCGGCCCTAGCCCACCTTTGGCCGCCGACCACCCCACCTCCTCCACCCACTCCCAAGCACGTCCACCGCCGGCCTCCTTCCACTCTCCCCTTCTTGTTCGAATTTTGAAATTACTTGAATTCAAAGTTTCCAAATTTGGCGAAGTCAAATATGGAAAGTTTTCGAATTCAAAATTCGAATGAAACCTAGTTGTTGGAGTCTTTAATCATGAGAAGCTTATTTAACAATGAAAATAATCACTATTATGAATTTACAGTTAGATAATAAGTGTTTTGTAGTATTCCATATGATTCATGTGAAGTTTGCTAACACTAGTTTTTATTTTGGATTCTCCCTCACCCTCGCTTAAATCTCTTCTCCTTGAAAGATTCTCCAACATCAAGCATGCATGGCGGATCCGGAGCTTGAGTGGGGTCTTGTATTCAACGCCGACGAAAGCATCAACATCCTAAAATCTCCGTGCTTTGACGTGGGATTTGAAGATGACACCACCGTGGAAGAATATTTGGAGCGAGTCGTCCCGATCCTTGCAAGCATCATCGACCGACGATTTTCAAATTACGATTGGAGTCTCGACGGCCATCCACTACATCCATCTCCACCGGCGACCTCTCCACCAACAAAGTTCTTCGGCGCCATCTTTGTAGTGGTAATATCTTTCATCGTTTGGCTCACCTTTCTCCGCTAAAGCCTACAAGTAGTTGAGTGAGAAGGCCTCGAGGTGAACCTCTCATTGTTAAGTGTTGGATTATGTTACTTGTACTTTGCATTTAAAATTACTTTGTTTTTTGAAAGGATAGTCTTGATTATTCTCTATTGCTAATCTTTGGCCTAAACAAGTTAAAATTTTTAAATTCTTAACTCTCTCTTGCATGATCGAAATAAACTTATAAGAGCAAAACTTAAAACAATTCTCTTTTAATTTTTAATCGTAACTCCTAGTAGTTTCACATCAATTATAGCTCTTTGCAATAAAAAAAAAGCATCTTCTAGATGTAATGACTAATATCTACCCATTAGCTACATGAAAAACAATAGTTATCTCAAAAGAATTAAAGGACTGACAAACTCTCACCTGCTGCATTACAAAGAGCTAAGATGCACCCTACTCCGGTAAAGGATTAACAATTTTTATTGCTCTTAGAATTTTTAAGTGAATATGGAATGACACTGAGATCAAGAATAGTAAAAATAACATAAAAAAGCCAATAAATAAATGCAGAGTACTTACAAGTAAATATTGCCTAGTTCAAATTCTTTGAACATATTGACATAGAAGCGGAAACCATCAGGGCTGACATCCCTGCACAATAGGCCTGAAAAAAGACAAGATTGAGAACACATCCAACCAAGCTGATGCAATTCTTTAAGCCAGCAGGGTAATATATCGTATATACCTCTACTTTCAGCATTTAACAGGTGTTCTTTGGCAAGAGCTGGTGCAATACCAAGTGTTAAAGCTGCATCACTGGGGCTTATGCCCATTTTCAGAGCATCTGGCTTTTGTGCAAGAGAGATGATTCTTGCGAAAACCTACATCATATAAAACATTAGCAGCTTAAGACAAAATTAAGTTCATTAAATTTAATCAAAACATGTGGAGACACATTATACTACAGAAATTTTGGGAGAATAATTTCGATGCAGAAGCTGGGCCCTTATTAAAGAGATTAAAGTGGAAAGGACGTTTTCACTGGGATATATTCATTATAATGAGAGAAAATAATCAAAATGGCTCCTTTTTTTTGTTTTTTTTTGTTTTTTTAATTTTTTTAGAATCAAAATGGCTCTTTGACTCTTCATGAAGGATCAAAATGATCACTAACTATATTAAATGATCATTTTAGTCCCTCGAATCTTTAAAAAAGAATCAAATTAGTCACACGGTGGGACTATTTTAATTCCGCTTTAAGGAGTTGAGGGACCAAATAAATCCTATAATATAATTGGAGGCTATTTTGATTTTTTATAAAGAGTTAAGGGACCAATTTGGTCATTTTCTCATTATAATGATGAAGGCGTGAATAAATTAAGAGATTTAGTGTTTGCACACAAAGGAAACGAAAAAATTATTTGGAGCATGGATGGATGGAGGTGTTAATGATAGACAAGAATGAAGTCATCATGTGTAAAACTATGGAGTATACAAGGTACATGCGCTTCAAGTGGAGAAAGAACATGTGCAGAGCATGGTTTAATAGAAGACAATGCAATATAGCAGAGAGTGAGAACTCATTGAAGGCAACATTAGCTGAAGTATATATGTGATTAGTAGTTGGGTTATAATAATGATGGCCTTTCTGAGAACAAGAGTATCCTAGAAAGATACATCCCAAGGTGAGAGTTTGTCACCAATATAAAAAGAATGACAAAACAAACACAGCCAAAAACTCTAGGTTGAAGAGGATGCCTTGGCTAAATAATAGAGAAGTGGGTGACATCAACCAGAACTACATATGGAATGCAATTAAAAAGATGACATATAGCCAAAATAGTGGCATCATAAAATTAAAGAGGTATGAAATATCATGGTATGGGCTATGTAGAGTAAATGATTATGCTCTCATTCAACACCCCATTCTATTAAAACATAAAGGAATGAAGTTTAATGAATGATTCCATTGTCAAAATAAAATGAGTTAAATTAAGAATGCATATATTCTAGAGCAACATAATCATAAAGAATTTTGAGCGTAGTAAAAAATAATATTTTATTTCCTGATAAAAAGTGTGAAAGACAAACAAAACTCCAACTTGTACTTCAGCAAATAGACCCGTATGACTCAAGAAAGATCATCAACAAATATAATAAATTACTTAAACTCTAAAGAGATGAGACCAAGACTCCAAATATCAAAATAAACTAACTCAAATAGGACACTACTATGACTTGACATAAAAGAAAATAAATTTGATGAAGTTAACTAAGCTCACATGCATTACATTTAAACTTTAGACGGAGATGAGACGATGGTAACAAAACCTTTTAAGCCTTAGTAGCGAAGGATGATCCAAATGATACGTCGTACTGGTACAGAAGATAGAAAGAACCTCATTTGTAAAGTGGTAAATTCCACCAGTGTCAACACCTCCAATCATTTTCCTCATATTGATATCATAAAAGACACAGTGGAATAGATAAATGGCTATAGAGCACCCATGACTTTAAGTTACATAGAGAATAGAGTTAAATGATAGAAAATTTGAGAACATATAACAAATCTAGGAGGGGAAAGCCCTTCAAGAGAAAGAGCCTTTCCCAACAGGAGGAGGAGAACCAATAGTGACAATAATAGAAGGTAGAGAATATATGATAAGGAATCAGAAAAACTATCAATTACCTATCATATGTGAAGCATCACCTTAATTTGCATAACATACCAAAAGAAAAAATTGTAAATCTATATGAGAAAATGACATAGGAGACAAACACTGATACTTGAGGGTATTGAACAATGTGATCATAGACCTCTTGAGAAAAAGAACGACAGACTCAATACAGATAGTTTGAGTAGAAGCACCATTAACAATCATATCCTGCTTAACAATTAACAATCATATTGGGCAATGGAGGGATAGCCGAATTTGGCCCAACGATAATTTAAAGGGTGATCTGTACAACATGTACAAGGGGAAAAGTTCTTCCTCCATGACCATGACCGCAACAACTATCAATATAGCCATCACGATCATGACCACCATTGTCAAAGGAAAAACGATATAATGTTAGAATTAACGTTCCTTCACTAAGGTGTTGTTGCACTTGTAGAATGCACGAATTCAATTGTATATGATTGATAAAGGAGAATAAAGAAAGCATAATTATAATTGATGTTTTTCATATAGATCCATAATAGATTATTGCATTTCACTTAAGCATTGTAAATTAAATAAAAACTAATTAAACTCCACAAATTCTCAAACTCAAGAATTGCCTCCTTTGTGGGTTGGTGAAGGGCATAAAATCTTAATTTAACCTCGGTTGACCCCATAAATGGGTCAAATCATCTTGAGGGCCCCCCAGACATTGAATAACCATAAAATGACATTCAATAGTCATGCAATCATAAAATTTAAACTTTGAATCCTTGGGTGCAAACCAAGAAAAAGCTATGATCGAATTGGCTCAATGTATAATTAAAAAAACGCTAGCCAACTTGGCCATCTTTCAAATCAAACACAAAATAAATCTTGTTATAATCGTACCTCAACAAAGCAACAAGAGGAACTGTCAAAGGCCACAAAGATTAGATCTATTGCACCAACTAGTACAGTGCATCTTGGGACCCAAAAACCTTGATGTGGACACTATTATGGTGCATAACTCACAAAATATATGGTGCTACCGAGTTTAACTAAATTCAAATCAAAAGTCAAAGATAATCAAAATCAAGACAAGGACAATTAAACATATAACCAAAACCTCCATTGGGCTTTCCTCTGAGGATGTAAGTCTCAATTGTTAAGCAGGCTTTCCTGAAGGGCTGGGCTATAAAACCCATATTAAGCATCTCTAATATTAGAGACATAAGGCATATGCTCAAGTAAGCCTTATCTAAGTTTAGGCCACTCTAAGATTATATTATTAAGTCCAAAGCCTTAAATCAAAGCCAACAATCAATGTCAAAATACTAATCAATTCAAATTAAATCAACCACCACAAGCTTTCCAAAAATTACGGTTGTAAGCCCTACATTGAATCAAATATTTTGGGCTTCCTTAAAGCTAGGTTTATAAGTCTTAGTCCTTAAATAAGCTTACATTGAGGATCAAGTCAACTTAAACCCAAGTACAATCAACTCATAGCTTAAGTTGCCTCGATTATACAGTGAGGTCATAAAATCCATTATTAGGCTGACTCCAATACATTAGTCATAAGCCCAAATCTTTGGGAAACTATACAAATAGATCAATAAGTCCCATACTTCAAATTAAATCAACACCAAAAATCAATTATAAATCAAGGTCTAAAGAAAAAAATTGTGTTTCCCTAGATGTCTTGTTAATACAATTCAGTCAGCATAAAAATCATAAGCATATACAAATATGCCAACAACTCGATCTTAAGACATCTCTACATCATCTAGAGCCATAACCCCTAACCTATGGGCCTCTATAAACCATAATATAAAATCTCATTTGTTTGGCCTTCTTCATTAAGAAATAAGTGCAAGGTCCCAAACCAATAAGTCTAAATCAACAAAGCACTAGTTAAAAAATACAAATCAACAAATATCAATTCATGGTCGAGCTTTATCACACTTGCATAAATTATAAGTTGTGCCTATAAACCCCTTCATATCAAGGTCATAATTCCCTCGCTTGGGCGTTCCCAGCATGTAAGCCTCAATCTTGTAGTTGACCCGAAGTTAAGTTGAAACAGGCCACCAAATCCAAATATCAAGCCCTCGATTTGTCTTTACCAAATCCAGAGACCTAGGCTCTCACATCTACACAAATTCCAATTAGGTCGACACAAAATCAATGACTGCACCACAAATAAAACTATAAGCAAATAAGACGAAAATCCCATAAGCCAAACTTTGAGTTGAGTTCATAGTAAATACATGCATCTCAAGTCTTATAAGTCCCAATTTCCCTAAATAGCTAGATTGAGTTTGGGACAAATAAAATAATTTCAAATCTTTAAGCATCTCTTTCAAATACAGAAATGTTAAATCATGCATTAACACAAATCAATCTTCAAGCCACGTAAAACACCCTTAAGTTTCACCAAACATCCAAATTCATCTGTAGGTAGATATAAGTCTCATATTTCCCAAAATGGAGACTCTTCTATCTAATGTAAACTAAGCACACACCAAAACAACCAAACTGCTAAAAACCTTGTTGCTTAAGATTTCTCTCCAAGTTAGGTGTGTTTCAACCCAAACTCACGCCAACTCATGTGTCTAACCTAAAGCATCTCATTGACATGACATCATAACCACGCATAAAACTAGCAACATGAAGGAAAATTTAGAAAAAAGTTAGATGATTACCCCGTTGTTTCTATAACTATTAATGATTAATATGACCTGGTAGATGCTTATGATGTAAAATTTGAGTAAAAATATTAAATAAAGAGGAACTTTGGTTTTAAAATAAGAATTATAGATTTCAACAAAATAATTTATCAAGGTTGTTTTTGAGTGGATAGTTAAATGACATTGTAAGACTCCGCTGAGAAGACTACTCATAGAATAAAATTTACAAGTTCATATATACAAATAAAGACTGAAGATTGAATCATGGGTATGATCCTATAATTCTTATATGTGTAACTTATGAATAAGTACTTAAATCACAAATCCACAAATGTCGATCATAAAGTAAAAGTGTCACAAAGAAACTTGATGAAACTATTTTCTGCATTGCATGAGACGATTCAGAGCGCTGCATCAAAGAGATGAAAAAAATAAAATTTGATTTCATTAAGTTTAAGTCAAATTCGTGGGATCATCCTACGGCAACCCTAAAGCCAAACAAGAGCACGATTGACTAGCATAATAAGAACAAAGTTCATTCATGCCATATAAAAAATAACAGTACGAAAACAGAAATTTGGATTCAGGTTCCACGCCCACGACCATCTTCATGAGAAAATGGGCCAAAATGGGCCAACAACAACAATAGATGCCTCCAAATAACAAAATTTTCATTTCCTACTGCATTATTTCATGACATCCTACATTCGTACCTAAAATTATGGACTAAAATACTGGCATCAACAAAAACAGATTCAGTTGCTGAAGTGTTCAATCACCAAGGAAAATTGAGTTTGATAATTTTTGGCAAGATTAAAAAAAAAATGGAAAATAAGCAAAATAGAATACAAATACAAGGGATGAACACAACCTCCTCATCACTATGGGCCTTGCTCTGAATGACCATTACTCCGCTATCAAACTTTCTAAGCATTGCAGGGCTGTTCAAGGTAATGAACCAACAAGAATAAACATTAAAAGGCATGTACAAATAAAAAGAAAATACTTGAAAAATTGAAAAAGGGTAGGCAACTGTAGAAGGGAATGCTTCTTGATGCCACACTATTGTGATAATTAGACCACGAAAAAGTGCTAGAACCTGAAAAAGGTGGAAGGTTCTGTTATTCATACACTTCATATTTTTCCCAGAGAGCACAGGCTTGCAAAAGATCCTCGGGTGAAATTAATTCTGTCAAAGTTAATTGAAAGTTTAAATGAAATTCAAATGAAAAGTAATTGAAAAGCTATTCAAGAAATACCTGTTCCTCTAGCACGATTAAAAAGACAGTACACATCTATCAGTGCAATCATTCCTCCAGATTTCTCAAGTGGTAATTTCACAAAATCAGCCAGCTGAAGAGGAGCAAGTCATCATCATCATCAATATCTTTATCCAAGTAATTTGGGTTGGTTTTATGAATCCTCTTTCTCCAATCGTTCAATTACAAAGGTAAATATCAAACTAACAACTTTATTCAATTTACATGTCTTAGATAGTAAAGAATTTTGTGATAATAAAGATAAAAAAACAATCGCAATACATGTGATTCAACATCTTGAGGAAGCTGTAGGACAGAAACCTTTCGAAAATAAAAATGAAGAAAAACTTCCCCATGCCTAAAAACTTAAACTAGTGAAAAAGATGTTTTTAAAATAAGGATCTAACAAAATTTAAGGATAAGATAAAGAAAATAAATTAAGAAAAATGGGCACGTCGCTGAAAATTGTGTTTGATATGTTTTCTTTCAAAATTAAAGTCAGACAAGGCTAAGACATACCCTAACATGTCTAGGGCACACAGTAACATGGTTGAGACCATGATGATGATGAAATGTTATTTTTTTCTCAACGAGCTAGCTTTGCAAATTATATTTTTTACTCAACAATGGTAAATATACAATTGAAGAGAACATTAATGTTAGTGATGATGATCATGGAAACATCCAGTTTGTTGGTCCAATTGGCGATACATATATGTATTTATGTTTTCTAAGTTGAATTGAATATCACATACCCTGTTTTTTTGGGTTTTCGGTATTTTATAAAATAATGTCTGATTATAATGCTCATGTTTTTTTTTTTGTTGATTATTAAGTGGACTCAGTGAAAATGAAACAGTAACTATACTTAAACCAACATTAGTCTTTCTTTTGTTGATCCGTAAATTTTGTTTGTGATATATAGGATATTTTATTTCATTATTTGATGTTTTAATGTAAAAATCTATAAAAAAAAAATACTAACATTAGGTAATTTAAATAAAGATCTGATCTATGGACTGGATAGTGCCGTTATTGGTACAACCATTAGGTCTATATTATCAAACACTAGTCAACTGCAAAATACTAAACATATCTAAAACAAGATCTGAACAACAATATTGCATATACCTTTGTATAAATAAAACCATATGCTTGAATTTGGCAACAATAATAGCTAAAAGGGTAACTTAATTATCCTGATTTGCTTTGCTTGAGAAAGAGTAAGTGCAGATAATATTTCTAGTTATCATGGTTAAAATAATTAGAAAGCACATTTTGCTTTTAATACATATTTTAGCAATGCCAGTTTGGTTTAATATAATGCATGCCACAATTTTTTGATTTTTCTCTTATTAAAATCTGTCAGGCCGTCCCGTGGCCTGCTTGATCATCAGATAAGATAATAACCCTGCAATCCATCTTGAGTTTCTTCAATAAAATGGAATATAGAATCTGAATTAAAATTAGAACTACCACAAGGTCAAGGTCGCCTTATTAGAATGTAAGACCGTATGACTTAAATGATTTCTAAGCATTGCCTCAAAGGCAAAAAGAAGTTTTAAAATGGTTTTATTTTAATTCCATGAGCTTTCGAAACACTAAAGACAAATAGAGAGGAATATAAAAATACTGGGAATGAAAGGGGATGGTAAATGGGAGGAATTTCTTGATCAAATGATTAACTTCATTTCATGATTATCATTACAAAAGTTCTCATTTTAAGAAGAGGTTGATGTAATGTAATTTGCTTAATTTGGTCCAAAATTATGGGCCACTTGTTTGTCAATTCAATCAATATTATTTAATGCACCATTTTATGTCATCAACCCTTTTTTTTCCATTTTATTCTTTGCTTTTAATAATTTTGTTCTTGGGATTATATAGCTAACGGTACATTTGGTATATAATAAGCCAAGGGGTGGTAATTAGGATGGTCGATTATGCAATAATAAAGATATGACGATTCTTTGGAGTTCATTTTGGAAATCAATTCCTCTGTCTTTCTCCTAGCTATGAGATTCTTTCTTTGTTTTTATCCTTGCCTCCATCCACTAGAGACATTCATTTATCTCTTCTTCTTAATCTTCTTCTTTCTAGCTACTTGTCATTCTTCTACATTGGATTTTTTTCTTCTCAACAAATCAATATATCAAAAGTTCAATATAACCTTCACTTTTGGAACCCCTTGCTATGCCAATTGGTATCAATATTGAAGCTCCCAAATTTGAGTTCGTCTTAAAGAAATAGGTATTTTTATATTGAGGTTTTTAAATATCATGGCATCACCAAATTTTCTCTTCAATCTCTTTAGTCGCTCTCTTCATACGCTCTTCATATGAATGCTCGAAAATTCCATCATACTCACTGACACAAATTCAATCTATAATGTAAAATTCTATAACTCATTGTTTTATTTTATTTCTCGTTGTACAACTTATTCTACTATTTTTTATATGTTTTATTATTATTGCATAAAATGTCTTCTTTTGCCACCAACAACATACATTGCCTCTTTCCACAAATTCTTCCAACACTTCATTAGGTTACTATCAACAAACTTTAAAAATAAAAAATAAAAAACCTCAAATTCAAAACTGTTTTAAAAGTTCGAATTTAAAATTTAAGGAAATTCTAATTTTAAATTTAAGAATTTTTAAAGTACTAAAAATTAAATTTTTAATATGAATTTTAATTCAAAATTTAAATTTAGTTTGAAAATTGGTTGCAACTATTATATCCTTTCCTCCCCCTTTCAAGCAATGATTCTATTCATATTCTCCATGATCTCCTTGATAATATCCTTCACAATTCTTCCATCAGAATCTCCAAATTTAACATTTGTTTCAATATCAATTTGAAATTTGAATTCTCAATTTATAAATTCAAATTGGAATTAAGAAAAAAAAAAAACAAATTTAATATCAAAGTTCAAACTTTTATCCAAATCACTTCCAGTTTTTCTCCAGCCACCATGGCCTAATCAAAGTATCAAACCCAATTATCATAACTACTTTTAGGCACTACTACAAAATACCAGGCCTAATTCAGATTTGTCTGAAGGCCTCCAATTTTTTCTAAACAATATCTACAAAGATGAGTATTGTGTTGTTAAGGATCGATGATGACATCCTTCTACCAATATAGTTGATGATGGAGATGCTCTTCCACTTACTCTTTTCCTCCCTATGATGGATTTCCAATACATCACTTCATTCAGTATGGCTTTCAATGCTATATAGCAAAATTAAAGATTACAATTCTTCCTCAATAGCATTTTAACTTTCAAGAGTAGTCTTAATAGCGGAGGGAATTGATGCAATGCAAGTCGTGCTTTAGTCATGAGTATTTGTGTTTGTTAGTTTAGTTAGTATTATTTAATTTGTCATGTTTATGTCATTGTTCTTACTTGTAATTTCCTTATTTTTTATATTAGATTGTTCATGATATTATAGCTATTATTATATAAACAAAAGGCCAAAGATTATAATTATGATACTTCATTATACAATAAAGATATGACCTTTTTTATATCTTCTTTGGGGATCAATTCCTCTCTCTTTCTCCTACCCATGATGGTCTTTCTTCCTCACCCTTATTCTATTTATCTCCACAATTACCTTTCTATACTAGATTACTACCTTATTAAGATATTAAAAAAATCCATCATAATCTTCACTTCTTCCCTGTAATGTTCCGGCAGGGACCACAGCAAAATTGAACCAAAACAAAAGAGTGAATTTTTAAGCAAATTTGATCCGCAGAATGCACAAAAAGGTGAAACATAATTAAAATACTTAGTTTAACTAATTGTTTAGATGACTTAAAGGCATGAGGAAGAGCAATAATAATTGTATATCCAAAAAATTAAGGATATCCAAAACACAAAAGTAAGTACTGGATTGCCTATATTTATAAATCCCTCAACCCGAATAATGAAGTCATATTTTAAAAAGTTTCAAGCATATGCAAAATTAATATGAACTCAAAGAAGGTAAACTTTTCTAAAATATGAGGAATGAAAAAGAATCAATATGTCCAGCCACCTATTATTGGTTAAGGAAAGTATATTCCAAAGTGATAGCAGAAAGAATCCATACAAAACATAAATGTAATATCTTACAAATAAATATAAAGAATTTTAGACCATCTCAAAAGCACTAGTTGAGTCGAGTGGTTTAAAAAATGCGACCGTATTCAAGGAAACTACTAAATATGCGAAACACTTTGGTAACACCAACATGACAAGGTTCATATTGCAGTCATAAAGAAAAATAAAAATGGCAACATAAAGTTGAAAAACTATCCATCTAGAGTACAAGAATATTTTATATGTGTGTGTGTGAGTGTGTGAGTGTGTGTGTGTGTGTGTGTGTGAGAGAGAGAGAGAGAGAGCTTACATTAGCTTAAAAATAATAATAAGCATACCTTTAAGTTTGCTTAAGTGAATATTTAAAAAAATATAAATTGTACTTGATATTTATTATCATCATCACAAGTAGCAGCACCAACAAGCTTATCCTAACTATTTGCAATCAACTTGGAATTTTTTTCCCTATATTAAAAAGACAATGTTCATTGCCTGAGGGTCCTGTTATTACATGATATAGGAAGAGATTGATGTATAAAATCTTATATCTGAATTACAGAGAAATCATTTCCTGGTTCCAACACATGGCATCCAGATGACAACACAGTAGATCCAACCATTGCTTCGAGACATCCCTCAATCTTCTTCTCAAGCTAGTCTACAAAACTCTCTTGATGTTTTGAATTATCTGAAAAGTGCCTATACATTAAGAAATGAAATACCAGACAAACAACTTATGTTTAATTGCATAGATGCTGTTTATTTAAAAAAGACTTTCTGAGTGAAAAAATGAATGTATCCTAGTAACATAAATAAGGAAAGACACATCACAAACTATTAATATCATTTCTTATATAAGTAAGCAAATTATAAGATATAAGAAACAAATTCATCAATCCACAAACTCAATGTGTTCTTAAGGCACATGTTCTTTTATAAAAAGCATATATTTAAAAATAATTATACCTGGCGAGATAATTGTTGATGATAGAGAGCACCGGCAGATTCTTTTGTAACCGGTGATACAATACCAACACTAAGTAGCCAATCTTGCATTTCTTGCTTAGAACCCATCTCCTCATCATTTGCATTAGCCTGAGCAGCTGAACCGGATAGCAATTTTTGCCTCATTTTCTCAGCTAATGCAACCATCTCTTTAGCTTTACTCTAAATAAAAACTTATTTGATTAAGTAATTCAAATAGGATCCTAAAGTTAACTTAAAGGAATATCATTTTCTTGGAAAAAAAAAAAAACCAGCAAGCCCTGATATTTGGATGTTAGATGAAAGAAAGACTTCATCATTCATGAGATTTTTAGAAAAGAAGATATTTTTAGTTGTTTTCATCTTTAAGATACAAAATGACATAACCTGATAAAAAATTCATGTGCCCCAGAGAGAATAGAAACTAAAATAAACTTAGCAAGCTATATTCCCAAGAATAACAATTTGAAGAAAAAAAAGAAAAACTAAAGCGCTTTGGTTTATTATTATTTAGATGTAAATTATTAGGATGCCAGCGTTCCTAGATGATCGTGTTATCTATCAAATGTGATGTGTTTGGGTTAGGCTTATTTTAATAAGGATGTCCATGTTTTTTATTTGCAACTATTTATATAGTGTTACTCTGAATAAGATTACATTAATGATAATCATAACACTTTATTTTAAAATGTAAATCTCAATTCTCGAGGGTTGATGGGAAACATATAGTAACCAATAACCCTAAGGAAATATGAAACAATAATGTAGCAATTAAGCTTGTATTTACTCATAAATTTCTCCAAGAAATTGACAATGCCCTCACATTTGAAGCAAAAAAGTGCCCCATATATGGAAGATCGACAATGGAGAAAGGTATCGCAGACCCCTAGCTTCTAATGACTGACAAGCAAGGGGAAGCAATAATAATGAAAAAACCATGGGCGAATTTAAGGAGGCTTCTACGGGCACATGCCCCTACCCTAAATTCTTACTGTATTTATTATATGTAATAAATATATATTAATATTTCATACCTATTTCATATTTCAAAAAGTAAAAGGTCAATTCATGCCCCACCTAAATAATAAAATTAATATATGCACCCCCATCAAGACAAAATCCTAGCTCCACCATTAGTGGCAACAAACAAACAAAGTGTTCATGTAAACACCAAGGATATGAGCTAATGCATATATAGTAGGCTATTTTAAAAAATCAAACCATTAAGATATTATAATATTATAACATCAGTATCATATAGAATCTCATTTGAAGATTTTCATAATACCAATAAGCTAATAAAAGACGAACTCAGTGCAAGATACATCCCTCATACACAATATCAAGGGAGGAGTTGATGTACACAATCTTACCTTTTAAGTTGCATAAAGATTGTTTACATAATTCAAAACCATGAGCTCCAAATCATGGTGGATGCAAACTTGCCACTGCACTAAGTCCATTGTCCAATAAACCAAATAGTTGATATCTTTAAACAATATAACATAGCAACAGATATCTTACATTCTCACCTATATTGAGAAGATTGAAGAAAATTCTTATTTGATGTTTTGCATAAATCTCTCTTCTTGGGGCCTATTTTCGTTATTTTCCACTAAGTAAACTTTTTACTCTAGAAAATTCCTATGTAATATCTAAGGACTTTCCCTTTTCAGCTATTCCTACAATGGGCAGTTGCTATAGGAACAACCAATTTTAGGTATGAATATAGGCAATCCATCAGTACTTCAAATGTAGATAGTAAAATGCAGCAAATAATAGCACTACAAAGGCTTATACAAAGTTTCAAGGTACAACAGGAGCAAAAAAAAAAAAAACCCATAAAACTTGACTTACCATCAAAGCATTGAGGTCCTGGAAAGCATCCTGCAAGCTCTTATCCGTGCTCTCCCACATCTCCTGCTCCTTCCTCAGAATACCCGCAACACCAACCACCGCCGTTCTCACTCTGCTCGTTCCCTCTACCGAGCCGCTATCCCTAATCTCCCCCACATCCTCCCTCCCCTTCACCTCCTCCACCTCCCAAGACCTCGACTTCAAAACCTCCCATAACTTCCCGTAAAACGCTTCCGAATCGCTCTTACCACCTCGCATCACGATCGTGATCACCACCGACGTCGTTCCCTTGCCACTGGTGATCTTTCCATCGCTATCAGAAGTAACCTGAATTCGAATCTTAGGGCTAGTGAACATACTTTTGATCGATTTTTTTGGAGGAAATGCATGGATGACTGAACCAAGGGGAATGAAATGGGCGAAGCGAGAGGTTTCATTGATCCATAAAAGGCGGTGAGAGGTGAGGGTGAGGAGACCAGAGCGGAGAGGGGGGAGAGAAGGATTTTCCTCTGCTTGGAGGTCGATGGATGAGATAAAAAGGCGTTCAACCTCGCCGGGGAAGAGTACTGGCCGGCCGGAATCGGTAAGATCGACCGGTGGTAGCCAGGCGCTGGCGGCCATGTACAGAGGAGGATGGTAACTAGATGGCCGTCGCCCGTCGGATTGGATATCGTAAAAGCGGCGGTTTACTTCGCGCGAGAAAAGTCAGAAAACAGCCGCTGATTTTTGGGGCTTCATTTATTATTATTTTGCTATATTTATTTATTCAATATCTAAATTTACTATTTATTTATATACCATTTTCTTATCTAAACTATATCTAAGTATATGCATAAAAGAAAAAAAAATGTCAAGATATATTGATCCAACACATCATGAGGATATTTTAAATCATCTAATTTGTATTAAAAATAATACAATTCAAAATATTATTTATAACAATAATTCCAGCACAAATCAATTTATTTTGAAGCATATACTAATGAAATTTGCATCACGATATTCTAAACATAATGTTTTATGTGACTTAAAAGCTAGAATGAAATATAAGTAAATATTTAAATATGAATATTATATATATAATTACATAAATTTTTATCGTACATAGGTAAATCCCTTATTAGTTTTTAGTCCAATTTTTTCAAAATTAATTAAATCTTGTATGCATTCAAATATACATTACAATAATAAACTCTATTAGTATTTTCAATTTCCTATAATGTTCCTCCAATATTTACATGTCACGAGGATGGTATTATTGAATAATGCTTGACTTTGTGATGTATTCGATTCAATCTTAAGCATACTTGTTGAGTTTGTATCTGCCAAACCTACGATCATCTTTACCCCAAGTTAGCAAATTCAATAAAGATAAGACACATGTTTATCTACTCTGAGTGATAAGTTTCTTTATACATTTCCAAGCAAATCATTGAGATCTACTATGGGTGATGGTATCTTCTTTCCTTTATTATCAAGCTTAGAGGACCATTCCTATGCTTCCAAATCATACATTGATTTGTCTTAGTATTTGCTAAAACTGCTCTAGTTGTATGATTTTACATGACTTCATAGCTTGACCTCCATGGTTAGAGGCAAATCCAACTTCTTTTTTCAGAGTGATCAAAATTTTAATTAATTAGACAAAAACGACAAAATTTTAATTAATTAGACGACAACAACAACAATGATGATGATGATGATAATAATAATAATATAACATCAAATAATAATAATAATAATAATAATTATTTTTTTAATTAACCAACATAATGCTATCAAATTTATAAGAGAAAATTTTTAAATTTATCTTCTAACTTAATATTGATTTTAATAATAATATAAGTTGGAGTATAATCATATACATTATGTTGAAGCTAGACTCTAACTTAGAAAAAAATAATAATAAATAAGCTTAATGTTAGCTAACTTAAGAAAAAAAGGAATTATTAAACCATAAAGTAAGCATAATATTTAATAGATTTAAGAATCGCTTCCACATAAATCATAAATCAATAAAAAAATAATTGGAAAAATAGCCATCTCTCGGACTTCAATGCAATAAAAAATAAGATTTATTTGGATAGAAATTATATACTTTAGAGTTAAATTGATTTCAATGCAATGCAATAAATTTTGATTGAAAAAATAGCCAACAAAAAATAAGATTTATTTGAATAGAAATTAAATATTTTTCTCTTATTTATTAGAATTCTTTTTCAAACCCAACTTATAAATCATAAGACACTTCTTTTTTCCATTAGATAAAATTTCACTCACACTTTATACAAACTAGAACGTAAGTACCGTACATTTTTTTAGTGTCTTCAACCAATGCTTCTTCCTCTTCCTAAATGGTAGGCAAAATATTTTTTTTTAGGGGATCAAAACTTCAAATTTATCCTCCATATAGACTTTTTTTTAAGGTGGGCAAGCTATGCGGTGATTCACCAATGTCCATGGCACTCTTTAAGATGCATCATTCATCAGATGGAACCTACTTTTAGAGATTTTGAAGGGCATGCAAAAAATATAACATATTTATCATTTTGAACATCTATTTATGCATAGAAATTGAGGGCTCGTTTGTTTCTACGGTATTTCTTCATTTTTTTTCTTTTTTTCCGTTTGAAACTGGAAAATGCAGGCGTGGAGGATGTGTAGCAGACTTTTTTAAAAACTCTGTTTTTGTATTGTTTTGAGAAGCATTATTTATTAGCTTATCCGTTTTAAAAAGACCTTTTCTTCTATTGACGTTTTTTATACCGGAACGGAAAAAAACCAAACGAAGCCTGAAATGATGAAGTGAAAATATTAGTTTTTGGCCCTAGATCTTAAGCACATGTGTAGTAGACAACTAAGGAGATTAGAATAACAGAGGTATCCGTTAGTGCTAACTCTTAGCTTTTAAGTATCATTTGCCTAGGAAATCCTCTAGAAGTTACCACCCAAAGTAATCGCCTTATATCTTCAATACAACTATAATCAACACCACTTGAATTTGTTGATAATCTACCTAGACATATCATTCACTTTTCCAATTGGCCCCCTCCCAAGATACATACTAGATCACATTAAAAATTTTCCAACTAATATCCAAACCAACTACCTAATTTGACTCCTTCAACTTCTTGGTTCTCCAGGTAGTTTATGTAATAATCATACATTCTTAAAATGGATTTATTTAAAAATTTTAAAATTTATAAACTCAAGTGTTGCGACACTGTGCTTTCGAGCGCAATGACGCTAGTATTCGACGTCGCGGCACTGAGTTTTCTGTTTTACAGTTTCTCTGGACTGAGAATGTCACAGCCCAACCTAATATGACCTGAAACTTCACATGTCATGCCATGTCCGATTGTGGCAAGACTCAAATCTCAAGATTCAGTTAGAAAAGTACTGAAATAAAATTTCTAGATTTCCTTTAAAGATGGTTGATGGTGTTATCCCAGTTGTAGCCTATAATAAATGATCGATTACGCCGACAGATAAAGAGTAGCGACTCTTTATTGATTTAATGAAGCCATATGTAATGATAATTTATTAATTGAATATAATAATTGATTAATTGAATAATTGATAATTAATATGACTAATAAACAACTAGAAATCAGTTGAGATAAAGGATGTTGAAACATCGTATTAAAATTGAATGTTCTGCCTTACTAAATCATACATTGATGCATGCATATATTAATAGCACTGATGACATTGATTGATAGATACATTAATATCATTGACAGTGTTATTTTATAGATATATTAATATCATTGACAATATTGAATGCATTAATAATACATAAATATGTGATGCATATCAATATATATATGATAGATTTTTTTAATGATTTATAAATAATTTTTCCACCATTATTTTTCAGATTTATTGAATTTGAAACCAATTATTGATTTTTAGATTTATTGTAATGATTCCTTGCTTTTATTATTGATCATGTTAAATTTTATTGATAATATTTTGTTATTAACTGTATTGACTACTATTGATTATATTATATTGAGCATATCATATTGATTATTTAGTCATTGCATTAAAAGCTTTTAATGAGTTTTGAATTATTGTTAGGCTTTTAAGCTCATTATATAGATTTTAATGATTTTAGATCATATAAGGAGTCAAAACAAGTTAGAGTGAGATTGTCAGAGATCATCAAATTTTATTTAAATTTTATTATGTATTTTTTTTAATTCTTTTATAGTTAGGAGCTTGTGATAGAGTGATTTACTAACTAATATAAATGATATTTTGGATGAATAAATAATACAATATCTTGATATATATAATTTTAGTTGCTTTATCAGGTTATTATTTATATTAATGATTTACAGAAGCTATGGTATATTCTTAAAATGATAAATAAACAATTCTTCATATTATATATAACACAGATTAGAGTCTGCTAACCAAAACTACTCAGCTCTCACATTACCATTTCCCTGGTTTGAAAACAAAATTCAAAGTGGGAGAGATTTAATACAGCTTAGTAGGCCATCATAGCCTAAAATAAAATTCAATAACTAAAACTAAAAGAACTAAAAATACTATATTGTAATAATAAATTGAAGCAATATACAAAAAGATAAAACCTAAGCATATACTAAAACTAAATACATTTAATTAACCAATGAACTATACTAAAATTGAAATATAAATATATATCATATAGCAATTTTTATAATAACCGTCAGGCTCCAGCATCATAACACATTTCATATCAAAATCCAATCTCGGTAGTCCAACATCTTTGGCATAACATAATGTAATAATCTATTTTTAAATGATTTTTTTTTAATAAGAAATCTAAATTTCAGTGGCGTGCCTTGTCGAAGAAGAGAGAGGGAAGAGATATATGTTTTTTAGTGCTTTTTAATACTTCAATTTTGTTCATAGATTTCTTTTATTTATTGTAAGTAACTCAAATCTAGTTTTAGTTCTTAATAATTTTGATTATTATATAAATTTTCTCATACTGAACAGAATTAATTATTTCCTACTTCATTTAATTTTGGCATTTGCATAAGTAAGAAAGTTTGACTGTTAACATTATAAAATGGGTTGGTTGTTAAAATAGAATACTCTACGTAAGAGGATGGGTAGACGTGATTTCATTTAAAGATGGTTGGTGGTGTTATCCTAGCTAGTTGTAGCCTATAATAAATGACCGATTACGGCGACGAGTAATTAAAGAGTAGCGACTCTTTATTGATTTAATGAAGCCACATGTAATGATAATTTATTAATTGAATATAATAATTGATTAATTGAATAATTAATATGACTAATAAGCAACTATAAATCAGTTGAGATAAAGGATGTTGAAAACATCATATTAAAATTGAATGTTCTGCCTCACTAAATTATACATTGATGCATGCATATATTGATAGTACTGATGACATTGATTGATAGATACATTAATATCATTAACAATATTATTTGATATATATATTAATATCATTAACAATATTGAGTGCATTAATAATACATAAATATATGATGCATATCAATATATATATGATAGATTTTTTTTAATGATTTATGAATAATTTTTTCACCATTATTTTTCAGATTTATCGAATTTTAAACAAATTATTGATTTTTAGATTTATTGTAATGATTCATTACTTTTATTATTGATCATTTTGAATTTTATTGATAATATTTTGTTATTAACTATATTGACTACTATTGATTATATTAGATTG